AGGGCGGCTTGCGGGAGGCCGAGGCAGCGCGGGAGCTGCGGCGAGCGCAGGAAGGGGACGGCGCGGGGAGGCGCCGGGCGAGGAACGCGGCTTAACTAGTTAGGCGCCGCGCCGCCCGCGGAGGCTCCGACCCTGCGCACGGATTCCCGGATTCCTCGGAGCCGCCTCCAGCGCGCCGCGGCGCCCACCAGGCCCGCGCTCGGGCGGAGGGGACGGGAAGTGCGGGCGCGCGCGGAGCCCTGGCCCGGGCCTCGGCCTTGGGCCCCCCACCCTCGCGCTCCTGGTCTGCGGCGGGTGGTCGCCCACACCTCCGACAGCCCAGCGCCCGACCGCGGTGGGCGCCGTAATTACATAACGCTCTCCGGGGCGCGAGCAGAGGGAGCAGGATTTCAGGCAGAGAAAGCACTGTGAGTTGTAGAATTCGGGACACATCTGGCCGCTGCCCTGGTGGAGCCAGAGAAAGAACTGTGTTGTTTTTATTAAGAATATAAACGGCAGCATGGATTACGTTAGAAACGCTGTCCCTTGGATGGTGCTCATTCATGGAGCCGAGTATTGTTTAAGCAGGACTGGAAACATTTTTCATCGAAGTATGCTTTTTAAAATGCCTATTATTTCTTTGTATGTGGACTTCGATTCTTCAGCCTAGTTGGGAATATGAGTGAGTCTTACTTAGCAATATTGTCAGGAGACCAACGCCGTATATGTATTTTCACTTTACAGATGAAGAATTTGTAGCTGGCTAATGCTTTTACTGGCCAGAAAAATGTTAACCTTAACGTGGCTGTTGGATTTTTAAACCACTCGTCTTCTCCGGGCGAATGCAGCAGTGCCATGAAGGAGGCTAATGAGCGTTAGCTCCATGACAATAGACTCTATTTCCTGAGGACGTCTTTCTTCTCCGCGGTGAGCAGAGGCAGGCTAGAGGCTTGCAGGCAGGCAGGGGTACATTTTACCATCTGCTCCTGTTTAGGGCGGTTACACTCCGTATCTTTACGTTTTCAGCCGCAAGGATTTTGAAGTTTCCCATTTCCAGCAAAGTAGCCTTTTCACGTTCAGATGTTCTCTCTTGGAGAACGTGTGCAGCCCGCAGCAACGCGGTCCGGGTTAGCATGTGCTCAACGTTCTTTGGAAAACAGTAACAACGTGGCCTGTGCTGGCTACTAAGAGGCCCGGTCAGCGTTGAGTGCTACGCCTGACGCGGTGCTCAGCTTCCAGAACTTGGCAGTACGCGAAGCAGCGTGCTGAGAAGGACCTGCCTGCAGGCGCACCTGTGGCTGGAAGGTTTTTCAGGCTGAAGGAAAGGGCACTGCGAAGCAACAGTTCTCAATTAATTAGGGAATTGATTTAACTCCGCCTTCTTTAATGCCAGCACAAGATGGGGACTGCCAGCAGCAACTGCAAAAGTATTATAAAAATTAATTTGAAAAGTGTGAAAAAGTATTTTGAACAAAATTATAAGCTTTAAATCTGGAAGGAGGGATGAAAGAAAGAAAAAAGTTGGAAAAAATTTGCTTTATTTTATCAGTGTAGAACCAAACAATTTTGTGAACTATCTCTTACATCTTCTCAGTGAGTATAAATTATGCTGGTAAATGCATTTGTATTGTCTTCTATAGAACATTTGCTTTATTAAGTATAAAACACCTCTGTATTAATAGTCAAAGTAAAAAACTTAATTTAAACCTAAATATACACAGTGTACCAAGTGGCAGTGTCCAAGGTGAAGTGCTTTCACAAGTCCGTGGTGTTCAGCTCTGTCTTTCCGACCCGAGAGGAGCCAGTGGCCAGAGAAGATGACTCTTCAGTGTCCGGATGAGAGGGATGCACTTGCTGCCTGTTCTCCTTGCTCAGCATGATTTCTATGCCCGAGCTTATAAAAAGGATTGCACAGCTCTGCTTGAGAAATGCCCATTTGTGTTCTAAAGTCACCCAAATAAAATCCTACTGTCTTGTTTTTTTGATAGTTTCTTGCTTCTGAGTTAGCTCTTGGCTATAGTTTTGCTTTTTACAAAATGACCATTGGTATTAGCACCGCTGCTTTTCCCCTGAAACGTGTGAACGTGGTCATCAGTGTACGCACCTTGCGCTGGCATCCTCCAGTCCGTCCCAGCCTCGCACCTCCCCTCTGTGGCCCTTCCTAGCACACATAGACCCTTTCCTGCATGTTCAAGTTGGCGTTGCTTTGTCTCTCACGTGTGGTTTCCTGTGCTATCTGCGGGCTGTCACAGAAGCATTGAGGCTGTGACCCCACCAAGAATCAGCTGCGGGGGAGGTCTTCGGCTTAGTGGCTGTGCACCGGGGTCTCCTGCAGAGGCAGTGGGTGTTCTCCACCTTCAGCTTGAGAGGAATCACTGTGCTTCACCTGCACGAGCCCGATAGGTTGATTTTCCGTACCACACTGTCAAATGTTCCCCTACGGTGAGGCTGACATGACCAATGTAAGCTTTTTTTAAAAGCGAAGCGATACCTAAAAGACAGAAAAATAGATATTTTCTTTATGTTTGAAATATCTATCTGCCAAACTATAAGATAATCCTGGAGGACCAGAAAGATAAACTCTCTTTCAGGCATTTTGCTGCTCTGCGGCCCACCCCCATCCACCCCTCCGATTTCTAGAACACTTTCTTTGGAGATAATAAAAGCTGCATAAGAAAGGATATTTCAGGGTACTGGGAAAAATTTTCACTCAGTCTTATGCCTGAATTAATTTATTTCTCACTTGGACCAAAAGGGATATATTACAAAGTCTAAACGTTGAAGTAACATAAAAATTTCCACATAGAAATTTTATTTCAACTGAAGAAAATAATAAGAGCGTAGGCAAAAGCCACAACCTTATTTTGATAAAAAATGAGCTTTTAAATGTGGTTTTCCACTGCATTATATAAGCCAATGCTGGTTCATACATGTGTCCTCACCTTACGATTTCAAGGACAGGGTAAAGGCAAGTACACATGGTAACGACAGAGCACATGGCCAGAACGCACCCTCTTTCCACACGTATGTGCACACGCACGTACAGGACAAGCACTTGTAGAATGCAGAGGAGCTTAGTGAAGTTGGCGCTGACTGTGGATGCCCTGAGTAGCAGGGAGGCGCAGCCACGCCTGAGCTCACCAGGAATCTCAGCAACAGGGAGGCGCGGCCACGCCTGAGCTCACCAGGAATCAAGCACACAAGCACTGTTCATGCCTTTGGTCGACTGCAATGAAATTCTTCCCTGGACATCAGTAACAAGTCATTTGAAATCCTGGCCTCTGGGACGTCTTCAAGTGACAGCGCAATTCCGTGTTGCCACGTCATGAGTTTTGGAAAACAATTTGTGCAGAGAGAACCAGCAGGCCTCCAGACATGGCCAAGCACTGTACTATGCTTGAGGCTCTGAGGGACCCTGCTGGTCCTCCGCGTGAGTGTGGCCCTTGCCCTCCTCCAGATGACACTCATTTCTTTATCTTCTTCTCTATCCGTGACTCAGATGTCCATTTGGCAGGCCTGACCTAATGCTGTGGAGCTCTCTGTAACTGTGTCATGAAGTCCACGAAGTGAGGGCTCCAGTTATTGCTGAGGCCAGTTCCGTCATTCCGGAGCAGTAGCACCTGGCCCAGAGGCGACCCCCAGAGATGCTCAGGGAAGCCCACGTTTTCTATCTGTTTTAATGTCACAGCGCGCTCAGATGCCCGCCACAAAACTCATAGCCCTTGTGCTCGCTTATGAGAAGCTGAGAGGGACCCGTGAGCCGCGATGAGCTAAGTCTGGTCATTTTCTCCTTAGTCAGAAGTCAACGCCTCCTTCTGAGGTCCTCTTTAGCCCGATGATGCACCGAGCCGGCTACTGTAGCAGCTGTGGCTGAGTCTACTCTCTGAGCAGCCTTTCCTTTTGTTTCCAAATTATTCTGCAGTTAAAGTTCAGGATTGGTGATATTTATTAACTATGCTTTTTTCATTAAAAATCCTGTGGGTTTGATTAGCCATGAATAACGACTGTCTACATCTATTTTTGTGCAGCAGATAATTATTCGGGGAAAGAAAGCAAAACTACAAGAAAAGCAGCAATTTTTGGTCAAGTCTATAATTTCAAGCTTTTCCATGCTTCTATGCCTAAATTTACGATTTGAATGAAAGTAAATAATAACTTTTTACAATGCTTTTGGAAAGTTCCTTTATGAAACAAAGTAATTTATAAATATTGAACTAGTTTTATATTTTTTAGCATGTGTATTTTCCAGTTGGGGTGATTTCGAGTATTTGGGGTCTGCTATAGCTGCGCCCCGACATCGCCGCAGGCCTCATGCCGTCGTGGGACGGGCTCGTCAGGGCGCTGGGCTGGAGTGTGCAGCTGGAGAACGGCGGCTGCTTGGCTTGGCACAGTTTGGGGTGTGGCTAGTGGAAAGGCTGCTCCGGGTGTGATGGCTGCCTGCCCTGAGGGAGTGAAGCCGGGGAGAGAGAGGCCTCTGCCGCTGCCGCTGCTGCTGCGCCGCCTTTTGCCCACCATGAACCGTTTCTCCTCTGTGAGGCTGCCCTGCCTTGGAGCCAGCCAGTGATGGACTGAGGCTTCTCCAAACTGGAAGCCAAAATAAGCCTTTCCTTCTTCAACTTTGGGTGTGGGGTATTTTGTCTCAGCAAAGACCAAAGTGACCGAGGCCTCTTCTGCATGTCCTTACATGTTAAGGTTTCCATCTAGTTGTCTCTGCAAAGCCTCATGCAGTT